CTTCTTCTTCTTCTTCTTCTTCTTCTTCTTCTTCTTCTTCTTCTTCTCTCTTCTCTCTTCTCTCTTTTCTATTTACATTATTTATTTATAAGATTTAAATCATAAGCTACTGTTTCAAGTTCAATATTAACTGTTGACGATTCATTGGTTTTTTTCTTCTGACTCAATTTCAACAACGAACAACACCCACGCCATACGTAAGTGAACTAGTTTCTTTCAAAATACATTTTCACAAAATAAGTTTTTCATATTACATAGATGATGACAAATACGATAGTATTCCAGGATATTCTTCATGAACTTGATAATGATCTTGAAATAGAAGGAAAAGAATATAATTTAGATAGTTTCTATTTAAACTTTAAACATGAAAGACAAGAGACCGATCAAAATCAATCTCAATCTCAACCAATATTAATATCAGAAGAATCAATTATAAAAGAGAAGAATTTCTTTTTTTTTGACATACCAAATTATCTATCTCTATCGAATATCACTTTACAAGCAACATTTCTATCTGAATTATGTATTTATTTTAAACCGATTAATTTCAAAGATTTACAACAATTATGTATGTTAACTCTATCAAATGTCTATTATTCATTTACATAAACAACTTTGGCATCGGTTTTTAAAATCTAGTAAGAATCAATTGAAATTACAAGAACAAGTATCTTTATTGTCAGATAGTTGTTAGATGAACCTATCTTTTTACCCGAAAATAGTAACTTCAATAATGATATCTAAAAGAATTATTGATATTAATAAACAAGATACAATCGAATCCAATATTTATATTCAATTTATTAAAAATTATTTACAAGAATTAGAAGAAAAAATGAAACAATGTCAAATTCAATTTGCTACTTTGAAAAATTGTCTACCAAGTCATATTGATACATTGATGGATAAAATCAACCATTTTGTTCAAAAAGAAGGTGTCATTCCTATGCAACTTCATTTTCAAGCAAGAATAGCTGTAGATAAATATATTTCTATTGATCAGTTATGTCAATTAGACTATTTTCAACACAAACCAATTGATTTACAAGTATGTACTATTTATTTTTGTTTCTTACTCAAACTAGTTGATTGTTTTTCAGTTACAAATTGCCAAAACGATATGTTCTTTAACATTTGATAAAGAAAAAAGTGAACAAGAATTAATTTTATTAAAATTTGGACTTCTCTTCAAAAAATTTCCAAAATCATTAGAAATATTAGAAGTTTCTCTATCAACATCGATAACAACAATTTCTGATTCAGCTATACGTGAACGTTTATCAAATGAATATCAAAGAATAATTCAACGAACAAAAGCCGATTTAACTGATGTTTTAAGATTTGCAATAGATGCGAAAAGAAATAATTGTAAGAAGAAATTTGAACAAGAAACAGTTGAGATACGGAAAAATCAACGACAACTTCCTACTCATGAACGATTATCACCTGTAATGGTAACATTAATTGAACAACGTCAAAAGAGTATTATTGAATGTCTGAAATATATTTATGAATTGAAAGACAATTTTCTTGTTCAAGCTCTATCAACAACCATCATAAACAGTATAAAATAAAGAAAACAAAAGTCTTGAGGATGTATATATACAATTATTTTCATCATAAGATGCAGATATATCACTCATATTTTAGAAACAGATAACTTGTAGTTGTTCGTATTTCTATATCAATATTATCTTCTCATGAAGTCTTGTATGAAAAAGATGATTTAATTTTTATTTGACTAATTTTTAGTTTTTTTTTTCTTTTTCTTTATATTTTAATCATTTCAGATATTATGAAGATTGTATTGTTATTATTATTATTATTTTCACGACTCCTTACTGCTACTCAATATAGCGGTGATTTAAGCTTTTATCCTCATCGCAAATTTTATCGAGAGCCTGCATATCGACAAATTACAACCAATTTAAGTATATTCAATGAGACTGAAAGACTATGGTACAAACTCTCAAGATTAGCAAAATCATCCACGACGACAGTAATCACAACAGGATTTATGGTTAAATTTAACAGCTTTTATATTATAAAGCTTGTTGTACTAATTGGTTTGATTATCTTATACTTCGTTACAAGCATAATTTTAAGAGTATGTGTAATGAAACGAAATAAACATTTGAGTAAAAATGAAGAAATCAATAATGAATGTAATAATGATGCAGATAAATCAACTGAATTATTTCAAAATGACAACGTAATTAAGATAACTTCAAATAAACTTGCTGACGTCTAACACAACAACACAAAAGGTTTGGTAAAATATGATATAAATTATGAATTTTTCGATTGAGATTCTATCGTCCATTCATTTCTGTTATACGGCCAACACAATAAATAACTACAATAGTTTAATTTTCTTTCTCATATGTACACAGAATTTTTTTGTTATATGTCTTTATTATTCTAGCATTTTCTTCTACAATACATATTAATCATTTTTCAGTGTATTTCACTAATGAAGAACGATTTGTTATCATTCTAGATATACGTTTTGACGAGGACAGACGATTTAAATACGATAAAGAATCATCGAAACAAGTTCAAAATCTATCTATTCCCTATGGATCATAATCTTATTGACTTAAATCAAGCAGAACAGGCTGTTTCACAGATGTCAACAACAAATGAACAACAAGATTATCAATCAAGAACATTAGGACAACATAATTCTACACGAACTGTTTATTTACCTCTATATCCAACAAAATCTTTTGGTCCAAATGATTGTTTACTCTTAGCTAATATACCAGGTTCGTATATTTAACATATATTTTTATTCATTCTCATTTATTTTTATCGTTATGTTTTAGTTACTCGTCTTACACCACAGGAGATTGCTCGTCGTCAACATGGAGCATACACTTCAGATGCAATATTAATGATGAATGATTATAAGTATTCTAATGATGGATTTACGTTAATGGAACAAGATGTTGAAGATTTAACTGCACATTTACTAGTAGGCAAATCAATCGTTACATTTAATGCTGATCGACTTCGTGGTATTTGTTATTATTTTCTCGCACTTCATGGATCATTTCGACGAAAGGTTTTAAAGAACAGAGATCGTACGTTAAAAAATCCAGTTCTCAATTCAAAACAAATGGCTATTTTACTTGAATTCTATCTACAAATAGATGGTTAGGCGTCGTCATATCCATATATCTAAAATATTTTATTTTTTTATATATATTTTTGGTATTTTTCAGTGGATCTATTCTACATGAAAACTTGTTCGTTTCGTGGAGCTGAACCAAAATCTATTGTGGAAGGTCTATTCTGTGGAAAACATGAACCTAGAGCAAAATATAAATTACTTGCATGTGGTAATATATTTTGTCGATTATGTCATCCAATAAATCATTCGAAGAAAAGTCAGCCATGGCCAGTTATTGATTTTAATTCAAGTTCAATGCATCAATTTTTAAATGGATATACAACATATCTAAATTGTCCAGCCGTATGTTAATATTATTAAAATATTTTTATTTTGCTAATTAAAATAATATTATTAAAAATTTAGACATGTAGTACATCGAATATTATTTATTCGATGACATGTCCATGTGGTCATTATGATTATGTTGATTCAACTGTAGAAACATTGAGTGATGCTATGACTAGTAAGTTACCTTTATATACATTTGTATGAACATTAGAATATTTCTGTGTAGATCATCGAGAACATGGTAATCGAATTATACATGAAGCGTTAGTTGGTAGTCGTGTATATCGAGCATCACCAATGGATCCTACTGAAAAAGAGTAAGAAAAGATATATATATATATATATATATAATTCATATAATAATATTATTGTAGGAAAGAAATAGCCAATAAAATGCGTCTTTATCATCATTCAGCTCGATGTCCAGTTGCACTTCGTTCATTTTTAGATTGTAATCCAATCTATTGGTGTTTTATTCCTCAACGTTTGGGATATGCATTAGCTGAAAATGCGCTTCATCTTCGACATACATCCACTATTACTACTACTACTACTACTACTATAGATCCTGAACATGATAATATAATTGCAATGGGTACTACTGATAATAATCTGCGAGTAGTTAACTATCTTGAACATGTACCAACACCACCAGATTCTTATGCATTTTCACGTTTACAACGGCAAAATCAACGTTTATTTTTTCAACAATTTGTATCATCTTCAATTCATCAACTACCTTATTCGAAAATAGATTTGTATAAGATGGCTATTATTGTTGTTCGTAAGTTAAAATAGATCTTGTTCGATTATGATTCTAAGTCTATTCTTTCATTTATATAGTACCTCATGATTGTTCAACACTATTACGATATATTATTGAAACATTATTTGTTCTACATGGTGAAACTAAATTAAATATGATTTGTCCACTTGGTGGTGATCCTTATCAACGTTACGGTCCACCTCATGAATTCATTTGGTGTAATAACTTAGCTCATCCATCACTGTCATCTCATTCATGTAGTAGTAGCAACAGTACATAGTAGTTATTGCTTTTGTGTTTGTAGTGCCATTATATACAATATTCTAAATTAGATTAAATAAAATACACGTATAAAATGTTCCTCTAATATCTTCGTCACATACATCTATGTAGATTATTCACTTTTAGATTTGTAATTTTTTTTTTGAACTCCACAAACTACATTTATTGAATAACTGATCAATCGAACCATGCATTCATCAACAGGTAAATATAATAACTATTCGAAGATTGAAACCAAAGTCGAAGAATATACTTTTACATATACATTCACTTCTTTTATGAATTTCAAAATAATAACTAACGACAAACTGTGATTTAGATACTCAAATAAATAATTTTGATTATTCAATGGAAATTAAACAAGAACCACTTTCATTGCCACCACCGTCACCTCCCACTCTCCTTATTCCTAACGTATTGAACACTAATGATTCGATCATGACTATGCTACCATTTGCTCAATATCATGATGAATCAAATGTTAAAGCTGAATCTGAAGGTAAATACATATTTAATCTACACAAGTCTTTGATAATCAAGAATCTTTTTTTTATGAAAATATCCTATCATTCATTTAAATCTATTCGAGATAGCACGACAAAAGAAATTCAATTTAATTATTCCATCAGAATATGAAGAACCGAACAAGAAATTTCGATTAGTGAGAAGAGCTTTCGCTATTGTTTGTCGATCGAATATGACAAGTAAGATAAATTTTTAAAAGTAATTATGAGAATGTCTGAATATATTTTTATTTCATAAATAGAAGATGATGTTATCAAACATATCCACCGTGAATTCAAATTTCTTATACAATATGTCTGTGTTTCGTCTTACAATGATTCACAAATAAATTGTACTTCGTCACCAATGATCTACATTCAAATCATTCTTCGAAAGATGATCAATAAGAAAACTTATTTTCTCAAGAAAGTAGCAGGTGTGAATGGACTTGAGTCATATAGATAATTTAATAGTATGTATTTCGAAACTATTCTTATTCTAGGAATGGAATGTAATTATCGAGTGACAAATGATGATCGTGCTTGGAATTCATTCTTGAAAAAAGGTTTTTAATAGTTCTTTTTAACCATTTATCAAAATAGAAATGAAATTTGATGTTTTGTTTTTGTAACAGGTCAGTTTATAGAATCTGGAGAATTTCGATCAGTGACATCACGTGCTGGCACAAAATGCTCTAAAAAGATTCAAGATGAATATAAGCAAACGAGTACAACATCTTCGACACAAAACCAACATTTTCAGATATCGAAAACATTACCCATGGCAGAACAGATAGCACAAGAGATTATGATAGATATCAAAACATCTATTGAAAATGCCATAGAGCTTGCTAATACACAAATAGCAACTGAATCACACCATGAAAAAACTGCGTAAGCATCAATATCTTTGCCACTTTTTAAAATATCAAAAACTCAACTTCAAACTTTATCTTCTATTTCTAGGCTTCTAAACACATTACAGACGCTTCATTTTCTAGTACAACAGAGTATCGTACAATATTAAAATAAACATTATTCTTTTTTTCGTTTCGTTTTTTACTACGTGCTTTCTCGATTTTATTTGGTGTAATAATTTAAATCATTCAACACTATCATCTCATTCATATAATAGTAGTTTTAGCAGTAAATAGTAGTCATTGTTTTTTATATTTTTACTGTTATTATATGAAATATATGCGTGTGTGGATTGTTTCTCTATTATTTTCGTCATATATATCTGTATGTATATTATTCTATTGTAGATTGGTAATATTTTCGTGAACTTCACAACCTATATTTATTGAACAACCGATCAATCGAACTATGCATTCATCCGCAGGTAAAAATAACAGCTAATCGAAAATTGAAACTATAGTCGTAGAATGTACATTCACTCCTTTTGTCAGCTTCATGATAATCACTAAGAGCAAGTTTGATTTAGATACTCAAATAAATAATTTTGATTATTCAATGGAAATCAAACAGGAACCACTTTCATTGCCATCATCATCATCATCATCATCATCATCATCATCACCATTTGTTCAATATCACAATCAATCAAATATAAAAACTGAAGGTAAAGGTAAATACATAAAATATTCAGTTTAGTCTAGATAATGCCAACATTTAGACGAAGTGATCAGTCTAATAATAACATCTATTTAGACTCATCAATAATTGCAACTATAGTCTCCGATAATAAACCACAAATACATGCACTCAATCAATATGCATTACAACAAAAAGAACAAGAATTTCGTATTAGGAAAGAAGGATATGGAAGATATAGAATGACACAATGGGAAATTGATCAAGAAGCAGCATGGGATAATTATGAGCAAGAACAACTCATACCGTATGAGAAATGGTTAGATCTTGAGATACAATGGATGGAAAATGATTACAAAGAACATTTACAACAGATACAACAGATAGAAGAATTAATGGAGCAAAAAGAACAGCAAAGAGGAATGGAAAACTTCAACCAATTAGAAGATAAAATACAAGGAGAAGATATGATTCTACAACATCTAGTAGGACTTATTGACAATCAGTCTGTATCAATTAAAAATGATCAATGAAGATTATAAAAATAGAGCACATATATAACAGTTTTTATTTGTTAGGATATACATCTATTCTCAAACTATCAGAATTATGTCATTGAAAATGAAAATATTAAGTTTCTCTTTTTCTTCTTCTTCTTCTTCTTCTTCTTCTTCGTCTTGTTGTATCAGATCTTTGCACCATTTATAAAAATCTATTTATTCATTTTTGTTTCATATTGTAGATTTCTTTCTACCAAGCATTTATAAAAAAAAACGAATTGAATATATGACTGAACAAAACTCTGGTAATTCAACTGTGGAAGAACTTGAAAGATATTTCGAAGAAGAAGAATCTGCTGCTGCTGCTGCTGCTGCTCATATCTTACAAATACAACAAGAGGAAACTCCACGTATATATATATATATATATGCATATATGAATTAATATCTATTTTCTTTTTCTTCTTTTTCTTCTTGCCAGTAGATAATATCAATGAAAGTTTATCGACAATTACAACAATGACACCTAATCCTTTGGACATAGCATTTGTCAATGTAAATATAAGTTATTTGTTAAGAAATGATATTCAAGACATTTTTGTTTTATTCTATAAAATAGGAGACTTCTGACAGTGAACAAAGTCAAAATGGTGTATTTCAACAACAAAGTAAATTTATTCTAACAAACAAATAATTTTATTCAATATTTATTACTTGTCTAGGTCAAACCACTCGTGTAGTATCATCGCTTGTCGATGGTTTGATCGATACAATCTCAACTAAACGAGAACCTACAATGATATCAATAGGTACAATGGCTAAAACACCAATAAAGATGAAATCAACAGGTACATTGCCAATAACACCAAAAGCAACAAAATCAACTGGTACAATGCCAAAAACACCGATAGCCACAAAATCGACAGGTACAGTACCTAAAACACCGACAGCAACAAAATCAATAGGTACGATGCCAAAAACCCCAACAACTGGATCAACATGAACGATGTCATTTACATCTATATACTATCATACTTAAAATTATCTTGTTTGTTCGTTCGTTTCCGTTGATTATCTATGTATGTTTTATGTTGTCTTTTTATTCTATTCAAGCATATTTATATTTATCTTTTCAAATAATCCAATTGTTCATGTTTGCCTTGATATGTTTTAGATTAACTGAACAATTTTTTTCCCTACTTCATTTATCTTTTACTCGCCAAGATGATTGCGTCGAACAATTGGACAATACATCAAATAATCAACAATTTAGCGTATTTTCATCTTCAATCACCTGAAAAATCGATACGTATTCTTAGAAATTGTATTCGTTCATGTGAAACAAGATCTCCAATTATTCTCAATTGTTCGTCTCGTCAACAGATTCTACCTATAATTCCTGAACTAAATGATTTCGATGAATTCTATCCTCTTCTAGCAAACGTATCTTGTATACACATACTCTTGTCATGTATTATCATTGTACAAATTTATCTATTTAGATGAACAATTATCAGACAAAGAACTTGAATTTCGAACAAATTATCATTATCAAGGACGTACAATTGATATATCATTTAATCGTGATGATATTGAAATGGGTCGTAAGATACAAAAATTATTGAATTTCTATTCACAAAAATGGCATATTGATCAAGATGTGTTAATTGTCAATTTAAAGCGATTATTGTTTTCACTTTCTGCGTTCACATTAAATGATTTTCTTCTAAAACATCAACAACAATTATGTCAATTATCCATAGAAGAATGGTTTATAGCATTAGAATTCTATTTACAA